GACAGAGAGAGAAGCATCCATGTGAGAGAGACACATCAATTGGTTGTCTCCCGCACACACCCTAACCAGGCTGGGGATTGAGCCTGCAACCCAGGCATGTGCCCTTGACGGAAATTGAACCTGGGAAACTTCAGTCCCGGTCTGATGCTCTATCCACTGAGCCAAACTGACCAGGCCTGTTGATGGCTTCTTGTATGTGCCCTGACTCGGGATCGAACCTGAAACCTTGGCGTATCAGGACCAGGCTATCACCCACGGACCTACCCGGCCAGAGCAAACTTCATTTAATCTAATTGAGTGTAAATGCCATCTTTTTAAAAAATCCCATGACTCTCTCCCTGGGTTTGGGGAGACAGCCAGTGCTCACTCCGCCGGCCTCTCTCCTTAGCTCCAGCAAGTCAATCAAACCAAACTTTGCCAACTCCTAGTGTATTTCCGGTGCTCTTAATAGGGGGGAGACTCAGAGAGATCTCAAAGACAAGCGGGTGCTCAGAGGCTTCAGAGAGACACTCAGAGACACTCAAGAGAGAGAGAGACCTGGAGAGACTTTCAGAGACGCATGGAGAGATATAGTTGAAATGGGATGTCCGTCAAAGAAATATCGTCACAAAGATACACTTAGAGCCTGACTGGTTTGGCTCAGTGGATAGAGCGTCGGCCTGCGGACTGAAGGGTCCCGAGTTCGATTCTGGTCAAGGGCATGTACCTTGGTTGCGGGCACATCCCCAGTAGGGGGTGTGCAGGAGGCAGCTGATCGATGTTACTCTCATCGATGTTTCTAACTCTCTATCCCTCTCCCTTCCTCTCTGTAAAAAATCAATAAAATATTTTTTAAAAAAAGATACACTTAGAGACACACAAAGATACAGAATCTTCTAAAATATAGTGACAGATGGGAAGAGACATTGGAACATTAGAGCAGGGAGAAATGTTCAGAAAGAGGGAGAGAATCTCTCAGATCTGGGAGACACCCAGATAGAAGAGAATCAGGCAGAAAGAAAAGCTCAGAGTCCAGGAGAGAACTTTGCTCATTTATTCTTTTTTAAAATATTTTTAATTAATTTATTTTATTTTTAAAAAATATATTTTATTTATTTTACAGAGAGGAAGGGAGAGGGATAGTTAGACACATCCATGAGAAAGAAACATTGATCAGCTGCCTCCTTGCACACCCCCTACTGGGGATGTGCCTGCAACCAAGGTACATGCCCTTGACCGGAATTGAACTTGTGACCCTTTAGTCTGCGGTCTGTTGCTCTATCCACTGAGCCAAACCGGTTAGGGCTGCTCATTTATTCTTCACATTGAGGGCTTCTGCATGCCTGACTCAAGCTGGGTGAAGCTAGGGGCTTAGAGGTGAGTCCTTAGTCTGGTTGGGGAGAGAGGTACAGACATCAGGGCTAAAACAAGGCGAGGCCCAGGGACTTCCAGGAGCTCAGGGGAGGGAAGGACCAGGAAAATGGGGACCCTCAGGCAATCTTTACTGTGAGGGGTCCCCACATAAGACCTCTTCACCCCTGGGGCACCCATTCCTGATGTTTTTGCAGAATTGCTAGACCAGTAACCTGTTCCTTGAAGGCGTGCACACCCTTTGGCGTTTACCCAGGGTCAGCTCTGTGAGATGTTCTTTCTTTTTAAGAGGCAAACAAGTGTTTATCCATAAGAATAGCTATTCAAGAATTATTAATTCAGGCAGAAGGCCAAATAATGTTCAGATTAAGAGACAAAGGCAATGAGTATTTATGAGAAAGGGAAGGGGAACAATTTCATCAATAGAAGGAAGGCATTTCTCCTGGTGCCGATAACATAGTGATGTTAATTCTAAACAATGTTTTTAATTTTCAGTCCAGTCATCATAATAACTGCTTTCTTGTTATGTTTGCGAACAGTTTTTGGAGACACAGTGTTGTCCTACGCCCAGTCCAAAGATCCTGCACTCCTTGTCTTGCCACCTCCTCCCAATTCATCACTAAGCCCTGTAGCGTTAACCTCCCCACTCAGGCCACTTTTCCAGCATGACCCCCTCTGCCCCAGTCAAAAGGCAGCATAAATGCAAATTACCTGGATTGCAGGGCCAGGCTGCAGGGGATCAAATTGTGTGACCTTGGATAAGTGTCCTCTCCCCTCTGCCTCATTTCCCTCTTCTGTATAATGAGAGTAATAGTAGCGCCTCCTTTTAAAAAGTTGCTGTGGGTTTCAGGGGTGGGGAACATCCGGTCTGGCTCTGCCAAGGCATTAAGGGTGCATTAATTAAATATTTGACCAAATATAGCAGGCTAAGTTTTAAGTTGATGATTTTGTATGGCCCGAGAATGATGTTAGAAATATCCAAATGGCCCTTGGCAGAAAAAAAAAAGGCTCCCCACCCCTGGATTAAATGAATGAATGCATGCCCTAACCGGTTTGGCTCAGTGGATAGAGCATCAGCCTTCGGACTCAAAGGTCCTAGGTTCAATTCCGGTCGAGGGCATGTACCTTGGTTGCGGGCACATCCCCAGTGGGGAGTGTGCAGGAGGCAGCTGATCGATGTTTCTTTCATCGATGTTTCTGGCTCTCTATCCCTCTCCCTTCCTCTCTGTAGAAAACCAATAAAATGTATTTTTTTAAAAATAAAATAAATAAAAAATGAATGAACGTATATAAATCATTGGGAACAGTTTCTGGTATATAAAAAGTGCTAACTAAATGCTGGTAATTTACATTATAACTAATATCTCACAGCCTCTTCACTGGATTCTGGCTCCCACTCCGCCTCCCTACAATCTATTTTCCATGCAGCAACCAGAGTGCGCCTTTTAAAACGGCAATGAAAAAGAAACTGGAGTCACATCACACAAACGCAACGTGCGGATCTTGTTTAGATCCTGATTCAAACAAAGCAAGTGTAATAAAAAGATATTTATGGGTTATGATGCCTGGCATATAGCTTCAAAATCATCTGGGAGGAGTGGGTGGGGGAAATAACACAGCATTGGCCATGACTGGATAATTGTTGATGCTGGCCAATTCTGTTATTAATGCAGAGAACAGTTCTATTCTTCTCTTGAATTCTCTGAATGTTTGAAATAAAGTATAACAGTGTGCTTGGAAAAGAAAAAAAAGATACTCAGGTGACTCTTGAACAATGAGGATTTGAATTGCGGGCCCCACTTATACGCGGATTTTAAAATATATATATATATTTTTTTAAAATATATTTTATTGATTTTTTACAGAGAGGAAAGGAGAGAGATAGAGAGTCAGAAACATCGATGAGAGAGAAACATCGATCAGCCGCCTCTTGCACATCCCCCACTGGGGATGTGCCCGCAACCCAGGTACATGCCCTTGACCGGAATTGAACCCGGGACCTTTCAGTCCGCAGGCCGACGCTCTATCCACTGAGCCAAACCAGTTTCGGCTAAAATATATATTTTTTATTGATTTTTTAAAAATTGACTTAGAGGACGGGTGAGGGAAAGAGATGAAAATATCAATGATGAGAGAGAATCATTGATCAGCTGCCTCCTGCACACCCCACACTGGGGATCGAGCCCCCAACCTAAGCAGGTGCCCTGATCGGGAATAGAACCATGACCTCCTGGTTCATAGGTTGACGCTCAACCACTGAGCCACGTTGGCTGGGGCTACGTGAATTTTTTTTTCCAATTGACCCATTTAGTTCAAACTCACATGGGGCCATTGGGGGAATTTGAACACTGTGGGGTATGTGATAACAATATTGTGAAATTTGAAGGGTGTGATAACAATATTGTGGTTATGTTTAAAAGAGAGAGTTCTTATATTTTTAGAGACACAGACTGAAGTGTTCTGGGTGAACTATCTGGAATTTGCTTCAAAATATTTTAGTAGGCTCAAGGAGGGGTGTTGAGAGGATGATGACACAAATTTGGCCATGCTGAACCTGGGTGATGGGTATTTGGGGTTAATTACTCTTCTACTCCCTCTCTTTTTTGTGTATGTTTGAAATTTTCCATAACCTAAAAATATGGTTAAAGAAAAAAGTATATGAAAACCTAAACCAGCTCATGTCACTTTCTGTGTTTAAAATCCTCCCTTGGTTTCCCATTCAGCTTAGACCTCTAGCCAACTCTTTGACCTCAAGTTCTTAATTTTCTCCATCATTCTCCCTTATTACAGAGGGCTTCTGGCTGTTCATTCTTTCAAACATTCATTTGACACAAATTTATTGAACACCTAATATGTGCTAAGCGCTGTTCTGGATGCTGGGGACAGAGAAATTAACAAGATGGACAAGTTGTCCATCTTAACAGAGCATACATTCTAGAAGACAGGTATGCAATGTTAAGTGCATACAAGGGGACAAGACAACAGAATAATGGAGGGAAGGGGGCCCTATGAGATAGGGTGGGCAGGGGAGGCCTTCTGCAGTGGTACTATTTGAACTGAGACCTGAAGGGGGAATCAGCAAACAAACTGATGGACGAAGGGCCTTGGAGACAGAGGCACAGCTAGTGCAAAAGCCCTGAGATAGAATTGACTAATTTATTGGGTGCCGTGGGCACTGTTCTAAACACTTTCCATGGATTACTGAATTTAACCCTAACAACCTGGATTGTATAGATGAGGAAAGTGAGGCCCAAGGTCACACAGCTAGAAAGTGGCAGAGCCAAGATTCCAGGCAATCTGGCTCCAGAGCCCAAACAACCCCTCAGGGTAACTCCCATAGCTCCCAGGGCTCGCCAGACCTTGTGGCCGAAGAACCACCACCCATGCAGGAGATTCCTACGGGCACTTCACGGTCACTCCCGTGCGGGGCGGGAAGGGGCCGTCACTGCTCGCGGAAGGATGCAAAGCAGGAGCTCCAACCCCTCTGGAAACACCGGCCTGGGCACCTCGCGACCGGGGCCCTCGGTCACTCCCCTGGGTCCTGCCATTGGAGTGGGAGGGGCGGAGAATCTTGAATCACCCAATGGCGAAGGGTGCCTGGGCGCTATGCAAATTAAAGTGCCTTTTATTGGGCGTTAGCTCCGCCCCGCCCTCTGTCCCGGAATTAGCCGGACTGTTTGCAAAAACCTTGAGCCACGGCTTGGGCAGCTGTAGAAACTGCACCCGGAGACGGAACGCGGGCTCCTAAATGCTCCGAAAGAAGCAGAAAAGCGCAGGTGCCTGTGCTGGGCGCTGTCTCAGGGAGGTCTAAGCGCAGCGTCTCCCCGTTAGCACGTTCTTGACTCCAATCAGCCACCGTAGGCCCAGCAAACCTCTGTACCCTTTCCCACTGTCCTTCGGCCCGTAGCTCTGCGCTTGCTCACCAACGAGGCTGCCTCGCGCACCCACCCCTCCTTCGACTCTGTCTCCCACGCCGCAGCCTCCGCCAGCCGTGACTGCGCTTGCGTACTGACGCCCCCACCGGCACCGCATGGGAGGAGGGGATGGAAATGAGGCTGGACCCTGCCGCTTTCGAGCGCACCCTGCCCTGCCCTACGGTCGCTGGGTGCACGGCGTGCGGTGCAACTCCTTCCCATCCGAGGGCAGCGGGGCTGCGACCTCGGCCTCCGCGGGAGGGGCCCGCAGCCCCGCCCCCGGGGAGGTGCAGTCCGCAGGTGAGAGTGCTGGGGTCCGGGCCCAGACGCTTGGGTCTTGGGGAAATGGGTTAGGGGCGGGGCGCTAGAATCTCCCGGGGTGGGATCGTTTGGGATGCTGATGCATAGGTTCCGGTGGGGCTGCATCGGTGCCTGAGCCTTGGGAGGGTGCCCTGGTGTCCGAATGCCACGATCCCGAGGCCCGGACGCTTGAGATCCCCGACACACGCCACATTCTTTCTCTGTCTCCCTCCAGGTCTCCTCTCTGCCCTCTACGGCTTCAACTCCACACCGGGGATGAAATTTAGCAACAAGGAAGAAATTTAGCGGCCCTCGTGGCGTCAATGGACTGAGACTAAGCCAAAAGGTAAAGATACCTCTTGGACGTGAAATTTCGCCGGAGCTCTTAGGCCCCTCTCCTGGGAAAGTTGCGAGAGACACGCCCACCGAATTCTTAGGCCCCGCCCCTGGGTCTGAGCTGCAGAGCAGCGGACTTGGGGTGCCATTTGTATAGCCCCGCCCATTTTGGACAGAGGCTCCGCCCTCCCTGCACCAGGAACGCTGCGTTCAAGTTGTTCAGAGGCCCAGCTACTCTGCTGGAAGGCTCCAACCGTGGGTCTAGCAGTGGTTCTCAACCTTCCTAATGCCGCGACCCTTTAATACAGTTCCTCATGTTGTGGTGACCCCCAATTTCATTGTTACAAATTGAACATAATTAAAGCATAGTGATTAATCACAAAAACAATATGTAATTATATATGTGTTTTCCGATGGTCTTAGGTGACCCCTGTGAAAGGGTTGTTCGACCCCCAAAGGGGTCGCGACCCACAGGTTGAGAACCGCTGGTGCCAAAGGGAATGCCTCCGCGTCCGATTTGCATAGCCCCGCCCCTCGTGCTTTTAGGCTCCGCCTTCCAGCAACTCCCATCCTTGCTTAGGATCCCAGATTTAAATGAGACCAGGCTCCTTGAACAGACTGACCCCTGATTTTAGGAACCTCCAGCCCTATCTCCATTAGCCTAATAACCACCAGCGATGCCCCTCCACCTCCCTACGCCCTCCTCTAGGTTTCTGGGCCAGCAAGATGCTGGAGCGAGATGCAGAGCCGGCGGCTGAGGCCACAGATCCTAGTCCTGCAGGCAAGGAAGCAGTGACCACAGGCGGAGGTGAGAGCGGCCCTGTGGGTGGGTGAAAGTTTGAGAGCCCAGGGTGATGACAGTTTGGGATCCCCTAACTGTGATGTTCTGGAGAATCCTGGGTTGGCTTTGCGGGACCCTTCGTGATCATTTCTAGGACTCAGGAAATTACAGGAGGGGCAGGGAGGGTGACATGTAAAAATTCAGGTTGATCACCTGGGAAAATCCTAGAAGCGGTTTTGGGAAAGCCTTCGCTTTGGGGAGGCAGGTAGGTGATGCTTTGGAGCCGTTTAGGACGATGGATGGCAGCGGCTGGAGGTGCCCAGATACATTCAGATATCAAAGTGGGGTGGGGGTCGGGGAGCCTGGACTAGATTTAGGGAGTTGGCTGCAGCCAGGAGCCCACCAGCCCGCCTGTACCCTAGCTCCCCACCAGGGTTCGTCCAAGAAGCCCCACCAGTCGGCTCCGGGGCCTGCTGCCTCCACAGAGACGCCATCTCGACCCCGCCGACGACCCCCGCCCCAACGCCCGCACCGATGCCCCGACTGTGACAAGGCCTTCTCGTACCCGTCCAAGCTGGCCACGCACCGGTTGGCACACGGTGGCGCTCGCCCCCACCCGTGCCCCGACTGCCCCAAGGCCTTCTCCTACCCTTCCAAGTTGGCAGCCCACCGCCTCACGCACAGCGGCGCCCGCCCGCACTCGTGCCCGCACTGCCCAAAGGCCTTTGGCCACCGCTCCAAGCTGGCAGCCCACCTCTGGACCCACGCGCCCGCCCGCCCCTACCCGTGCCCTGACTGCTCCAAGTCCTTCTGCTACCCCTCCAAACTGGCTGCCCACCGACACACGCACCATGCCACGGATGCCCGCCCCTATCCTTGTCCGCACTGCCCCAAGGCTTTTTCATTCCCCTCCAAACTGGCTGCCCATCGCCTATGTCATGAACCCCCCACGGCGCCGAGCAGCCAGGCCACCGCCCGGCGACATCGCTGCTCCAGCTGCGGCCAGGCCTTTGGCCAGAGACGCCTCCTGCTCCTTCACCAACGCAGCCACCACCAGGCTGAGAGTCAGGGGGAGCGGGAGTGAGCCCTCCGCTTGGCTCACCGGCCCCCTCTGCCGCCAGCTCCAGTAAACACAGGTGGCATTTCTAAACCAGGCTTGCCTCTTGTAGCTGGCAGGGAGGTTGGTTCCTCCTTACTGGGCTGTAACTTAAAAGGTGGAGGAACTCTTTGCTCACCCACTTTGGGGAAGGGGAGGGAATGTATCAACCACAGAGAGTTAACCGGCCCCAAACCATGGACCTGGAGCTGTGGTGGGAAAGAACCGGCCCTGGTTTTTCCTGACTATTCATTTGGCAAAGGTAAAAAGTCTTGCTAGCATTGTGGGGTGGTGGGGAGTGTGGGAAAACAGGCCCTCTCCTGTTGTTGTAAGTTACATTGGTGCTTCCATTTTGGCCATTTGGCTGTACCTATGAAATATTTAAATGCACACCTGCTCCTGTCAGCTATTCCACTAAGAATGTATCCTATAAACCCCAGCATGTGAACAAGGCATAAGGACAAGGATGTTCGCTGCAGCATTATGGTTGTGCCCAAAGATGGAAAACAACCCAAGTGTTCATCAATCGAGACCAGCTAATTAATTACAGTACAGCCATAGAATGGAAGATGTAGCTGTAGGGGGGAGAAATCAGCTCATTGTGTACCGATGTGGAAAGATTCCCAAGATATAAATGATAAAAGCCAGAACAAGGGGCATACTGCTGATAGTAGGTAAAGTCCTAGCTTTGGAGCCAGCCCTGACCCACTGCGTAAGAGCCGAGGGGCCTTGGACAACCTTTGGCACTTCTCTGGACTCAGATACCTTATCTGTAAAATGGGAGTGTTATAAGGCCCTTGTAAGGGTGCAAGCATCATCATCTTGGGCAGGTCAGTTCCCTTCTTAGAGCCAGTTTCTCTCACTATAAAATCAGATGAGTGAGCTAACATTGGACTGCTCTTCATCCTACACATTAAGCACCTACTGTGTGCTAGGACCTGAATAGGGTATTAGGAATACAGCAGTAAATAAGACAGACCTGGTTTAGTGAGGAGACGGGTCACTAGTCAAGTAGTGGCAAAAAAAAAAAAAAAAGTAAGCTTAAGTCCATTTTGAAGAACAAGTAGGGGAGCCTTGGTTCTGACATGTGACAACCCCCACCTGGAGATCAGGGGTTGGCAAACTTCCTGTAAAGGGCCAGGTGGTATATATTTTTAGGTTTTGCAGGCCATACAGCGTCTGCCATGACTACTCAACTCTGCTGTTGTAAAAGCAGCCACACTCATGACACTGTAATGAATTTGTGGCTGGGTTCCAATAAAACTTTATTTCAAAAACAGAAAGTGAGCTGGATTTTGCCTATGGATGGCAATTTGCCGACCCCTGCTGTAGATGAGTGGGGAAAGGACAGGCTAATCTGTGAGTTAGCTGAGGTGGGGAAAAATGAAATGGGAGGGACCCTGTGATGGGCAGAATAATGGTCCCTCAAAGTTGTCCCCATCCTAACCCCTAGCACCTATATGTTAGCTTACACATGGCAGAATGGACTTTGCAGATGTGATTAAGGATTTTGAGATGGGAATATCCTGATTATTTGTGAGCCCAATGTAGTCACAAGGGTCCTTATATGAGGAAGAGGGAAATAGAAGTCAGAGCAGATGCGACAGTGGAAGCAGAGATTGAGTGATGCAGGGCCACGAGTCAAGGAACTTGGCAGCTTCTAGAGGCTAGAAAAGTCAAGAAAAATATTCTCCCCTAGAGCCTCTAGAAGGAACCCAGGCCTGCTGCCACCATGATTTTGGCCTAGAGACTGAGTTTGGACTACTGACCTCTAGAACTGTAAGAAAATAAATGTGTATTGTTTAAAGTCATTAAGCTTGTGGTAATTTGTTGCAGCAACAATAGAAAACTAATACAGATCCCTACCTCACACCATACACAAAAGCTAGTTTCTAGGGAGTTAAGATCTAAATTTGAAGAACAACACTAATTCAAATGGAAATATAGGAGAATATCTTAGTAACCTCAGAAGTAGAGAAAGTATTTTTAAGACACAAAAAGAGAAAATTATAGAGGAAGAGACTGGTACATTTGACCATAAACAAATCAAGTTAGAAATATGATGCAGCATGATAAGAGTGTATACCTAACATATACTATTCTAGAGGTTAGGAAAGGCCTTCTTTTTTAAAATACATTTTTATTGATTTCAGAGAGGAAGGGAGAGGGAGAGATAGAAACATCAATGATGAGAGCAAATCATTGATCGGCTGCCTCCTGCACGCCCCCTACTGGGGATCGAGCCTGCAACCCGGGCATGTGCCCTTGACTAGAATCAAACCCAGGACCCTTCAGTCCCCAGGGCAACGTTCCATCCACTCAGCCAAACCAGCTAGGGCAGGAAAGGCTTTCTTGAGCAGATGTTTTGAGTTGAGACCTGAAAGGTGTGAAGGATGGACTGAGAGATGGTTTGTGGAGTCTCCAGCATAAGGGGTAGAATCAAGCAGGTAAATGGAAATGAGCTGTAGACTACTCAGCAAGATCTGGAGTGGGGCGGGGGGGAGGCGGCAGGGCTGGGCATAGGTAAGGATTCCAGTCCCTCCTCCAAACTTGACAGCATGACTTGTATCCATGTATACATAGAGAGCTGTCCGGGAAGAGCTCCTCTGTAGCAACCACACCACCTCAAAGGTTCAAGGGCACAAACTCATTTAGTCTGGTCCAATCTTACAAGATGACTGGTCTACAACCAAACAATAGGGCGGGGGGCAGTGCTGATTTAGAGTGGATCCCAGGTCTCCTGACACCCCGATGCCTTGCTGCTCCTTGCACATGTCCTGCCGGAGGGTCTCTGCACTTGCTTTTCCTCTGCCTGGACCAGTTTCCCCAGGACCCTTTTCCCAAGTCCCTGCAGAAGGGGACGTCCCCTGAGATGCCTTCTCCTATGACTCTATCTAAATACCTCCGCCCTGTCACTCTGTGTGCAGCACTGCCCTGCTCTCTCTGCTCTCACAGCATTTACCCCTGCCCAACACTGCAACACACACTGTCTCTCCCCCAGCAGAATATCTGCCCAGGAGTGAGGACTTGTGTCTCTTTTCACACTGCAGCCGTGTCTCACTCACAGTGGGTACGGTAGGCCGAACAAGGGAGATGTCCACATCCTAATCCCTGGTGGAACCTAAGGATATGGAATGTGGCAAAGGAGACTGAAGGCAGCAGAAGGAATTCCGGTTGCCAACTGGCTGACCTTAAAAAGGAGATTATCCCAGACTATCCACGTGGGCTCCACATAGTCATCGGAGTCTAAACGTGGGAGAGTAAGACAAAAGATCTGGTGTCAGAGACGATGTGCATGGGAAAGACTGCCTGGCCTCTGCTGCCTTTGCCTGTGGAAGGGGAATGGAATGTGAGCAGCTGCTACAAGCTGGAAAAGCCCAGAAAGCAGTTTCCCCTGGAGCCTCAGAAGGAATGCGGGCCAGCCTACACCGTGACTTCTTAGCCCAGTGAGACCCATTTCAGACTTCAGACCTAGAAGAATAGAAATTTTTGTTGTCTTAAGACACTAACTTTGTAGTAATTTGTTACAGCAACAATAGGAAGTAACATAGTGAGTGGTCAGTACATGTATGAATGAATGAAAAGTGAACGAGTGGATGCAGAATCTAATACCACCTTCACCTCAGAGATGAAAAAGCAAAGGTCAACAAAGAGAAAGGATTAAGATTGGTGGCCCTTGGTTAGTTGATGGGGCCAAAGCTGGGAATGGGCTTGGAATGTCCAAGGAAAGTTTACCCAAAGGGCAGATCTCAAACCCAGATGACCCAGCCCTTTGTGCTGCTCAAACCCCTTCCCGACCCCATTCCCCCAGGAAAAGTCCAAGACTCTGCCTGGCACTGTCAGCGTGCTTGTGCTTCCCACGGGGATGGAAATGTCTGTGCTGTCAGTGCTGCGGCCAGAGCACTGAAATGGGGCCAGTGTGAGAAGGAAGTGAATTTTCCCTTTCATTTCACTGTAATTTTTTTTTAAATCCTCATCCAAGGATATTTTTTTCCATTGACTTTTAGAGAGAGTAGGAAGGGGAGACAGAGAAACATCAATGTGAGAGACACATCGATCGGTTGCCTCCTTCTCGTGCCTGGACTGGGGCAGGGATGAATCTGCAATCGAGGTACATGCCCTTGACTGGGAACTGAACCCGAGACACTTCTGTCCAAGGGTCGATGTCCTAACCACTGAGCAAACAGGCCTGGGCTCATTTCATTGTAATTTAAATAGCCACCTGTGTCCATCGGCTACCACAGTGAACACTGCAGCTGCAAGGACTGTGCCCACCTTTCTAGCCAGATCTGCCCCTACAGCCTCTTCACCAAGGGTGGCAATGCTCTTTCAACTCTACCCAACACCAGGCTAGCAGCTCCCACTTTCGGGCCTTTGTCCCTGCCATGGCCCCTGCCTAGAACGACACCCCATCTTCTGTCCCGATTCTCTAAACACCCAGCTCGGCTCCGACCTTAAGTGTAGTGGAGTCTTGAAGGGGATTCAGGATTTGGGTGGATTGAGTCAAATGCCCCTTCCCCCATTCTACCTCCCAAATGAGGTGATGTGAAACCATGTGTGACAGTTACAGAGCTACTCCTGAAAGCCCTGGAGAAAGGGATATCCCTGGCAGGGGAGCTGAGACTTCCAGAGAGGCACAACTCATGAGCATCCAGACCTCCAGCCCAGGACCATAGAGGGACAACCAAGACCCAGGCACAGGCCCAGAGAGTCAGAATCCGCTAAGTGTCATTCCCAATACCACAGCTGAGGGGCCAGCGAGAAGTGACAAACAGCTCCTTCCCTACCGGAGCCCTCAGAGAGCCCTCATTCTCTCCAGGACCCAGGTCAGGAGTCTCAGGCAGCTCAGAGTCCTGCCTCTCAGAGGGGAAGCAACACCAAACAGAAGACAGCTGGGAGCCTCTTAGAATTTCTGGGAAACTCCTGAGTGAGAGAGGCAGTGGCTCCAAACCAAGTCAGCTTTATTAAACTTGTGTGTGCGTGTGTGTGCGCGTGTGTGTGTGCACAAGCACATACTTCAGGCCTGGGGCACCACCCCATAGAGCTGGTGAGGAACTCATTACAACTGTAGATCCATCTTGGGCGAACGAACACCAGGGAGGGATTGTCCATCAGGGCCTGCAGGGGGGCAGGGGGGCAGGGGACACATGTGAGAGAGGAGGGGACAGAGGAGATTCAAGGGCAGTTTGGGTCTCCCTTTCCCTGCCCCTCTGAACTCACCTCCTCAAAGCTGGGGTCCCACTCCTGAGCCGTGATCACAAACTGGACCCGGTCGCTCATATAGTCCTCGAGCTCCCTAGCGGGAGAAGAAAAGAGGCCGAGAATCGGTGTCCCCTCTGCTGACACCCCACTCCCCAACCATTCTCTCCTGTCCCCACCTATGTCCCCTAGAGGCTGCTTGTGGATCCTCCATTGTCCCACGTGCCAGTCTCACCACAGCCACCATACTGACAGCTCCCACTGTCACTAATCCTTTCAGAAGGGTGGCCGGGAGCCTCCCTTTAGAGAAGGAAGCCTGGGGGGAGCTACGCAGCAGGGCTGCCACTGAACTCTGTGGCCTGTGCCCATCCTGCAGGGTTCGCCCCTTCCCCACCTCCCAATTGCCCTCCTTCCCACAACCTACCACACCCCTCCTCAAAACTCAGCACCCCCCTCACCCCAGTCCCACCCCCAGCGACTGACCCATTGAAGGCTGTGACATAGCGGCTGAGCGTCCTCCGCTCGTCCCCAGGGAACTCCCCGTACAGGAAGAAGTGTTTGCCCTGGAAGAAGTCTGGGGAGATGGTGGAAGAGCCAAGGTGAGGCCCTCAAGTGCCAAAGCACCAGCCAGGGGCCACAGAGGCCAAACAGGAGGGCAGGGAACGGACGGGGCAATGAGGACAAGCAGTTCAGCCAGCCCAGCAGAGCCTGGTTTTTCGTTGTTTTCTTTAATGGTAAAAGACACGATTCCAATGATGGTGATGTGCTTCTTACATGATTCCCAATTCCCTGGCACCTGCCATTGCCATCAAAGGGCTGAGGGGCCAGGGAGAAGGGCCAAACAGTTCCTTCCCTACCAGAGCCTCATGGAGAGCCCCTCATTCTCCCAAGTCACAAATGGGCTGTTGCCACTTAATAAGCGTGGCCGGGTCAGACACTGACGAACCGGCCACTTTTTCATCTGGTTGGTCTCATTCCTTTTTGAGTGCCCCACCCACACAAAAACTAAACTGAGGGGTGGGGGTGGGAGGCTGGGCATCTGCAGATTTTAAAAGACTTCCAGGTAATCCTGAAGCCTAGGGGGGGGTTAAGCTCTGATGTGAGGGAGGGGCTGTTCACACCTGGAGTGGAGCCCAAGGGGGTGGTCACACCTGCCTGGTGCTGGGCTGTGATGGGGACAGAAAGGGAAGGGGAGGGAAGGGAACAGGCCTAAGAGAACGAAGAGGTGGCAAAGGCAGGCAGTGGCGGGAGGAGACCAGGAGACAAGTCCCAGGGTGGGTAGCAGCAATCCTCGGCTAGCTGGAGCAAGTCACAGATGAGAACTGAGAGGGACAGATCCCACTTCAGGAGGGAGAGGGATTTCCTACCTGGGAGTTCAGGAATTGGCAGGTCAGGAGACTCTGGGGGACTCTCATTGTCGGTGTTCTCATCTGTGGATCCCGCATATGGGTCCTCGCCATTCTCCCCCTGGCCAGGGGGCTGCCTCCGTTCCTTCTGCTCAGCCACCCTGGGGGAGCCAAGAGGGGTGGGGAAGAGTATGCAGACCAATCCCCTCTATCCAAGGCCCGGCCCACCCTGACCCCCCGGCCCCGATGCTACCTTCTCAGCTCATCCTCAGTGTCCTCAGAATCTTCCGCTCCATTGTCCTGTCCTTCTGCTAAGAGAGCAGAAGCTTAGTCAGTGCAAGATGACTCCCTGTCTTCTGGGAAGACCGGTAACCCTCTGCACAGTCTCACACAGGCATCCTAACCCCCAACCTCAATAGCCCTCCAGATCCAGTTATCGGGGGGCCCTCAGCCTCCTCCTCCTCCCTCAGACCCAGGAGTCCAGGCCCCCAGAACCCTCCTCCCTCAGAATTCTAGGCCCCCAGTCCCCTCCTCCCTAAGGCTGACCTGACCACTCCCCCTCAGTGTGGGTATCTTCCTGGGACCCGGGTGAGGCTGGTTTGGTCTCTTCTGGAGTGGAGGCTGTCTGGGGTGAGCTGGATCCCGCTGCCTGAGGGGCCTTGGTTTTGGTCTGAGGAGGGGAAGTGGGGGAGTGAGCACCCAAGGGGCAGGGTGGGTGGGAGGATGTGGGGAGGTGAGCCACAGGAGGCAGTAGACTTTGGGGGCTACAACAGATCCATATCCTCCTCCCAGTACACCCTCCCACTGCTGGTCAGGGGTCAGCGGACCTTTTGGGGAAGCTGTGGGGCTTCATCCCCGCTGCTGCCGCTGTGAGGGCCGCCCTCGTCCTCGCTGCTGGAGTCTGGCCCTGCCATGAGGTACCTGGGGAAGGAATCAGGCCTCAGACAAACAGGATGTCCTGTCCCCTGGGGCCTGTAGGGAGGGTGCTCAGGGTCACCCCATGGCCACTCTCCCAGCTGCCTCTCTTCCCCACTCTGGAAGGCCCCGCTGACCCCGTCACCCCAGCCACACACACAGGAGAGAGACCAGAGCTCCCCTTGGCTGCCCTCCCTCCTCTTGCGGAAGAAATGCCCCATTTCAGAAAGAAAAAAAAAATCAGAAATAATGTTCCTCTTTGAGAATCAAAGTCAGTTTCTCTTTGGGAGAATGCATACAAATTAAGGGAAAATTCCCAACAGCGAATACAGTTTTAAAAATATATATATTTTATTGATTTTTTACAGAGAGGAAGGGAGAGGGATAAAGAGTTAGAAACATCAATGAGAGAGAAACATCAATCAGCTGCCTCCTGCACACTCCCCACTGGGTATGTGCCCACAACCAAGGTACATGCCCTTGACCGGAATCGAACCTGGGACCCTTGAGTCCGCAGGCTGACGCTCTATCCACTGAGCCAAACCGGTTAGGGCAGCAAATACAGTTTTAAAGACCTTGACACTATATTTATGGTCCTTAAGCTGCTGACACTCCAGGAAAAGAATTCTCCTAGTTCTCATAATAACAACAGCTAACACTTATAGGGGATTTCCTATGTGCCAGGCACTATTCTATCACTTGACAAATGTGGAGTCACGGAATCCTGAGGTAGGTGGTATCTTAGCCCCATTTTACAGATGAGAAAACTAAGGCACAGAGAGATTAACTACTTTGCCTCAAACCCAGGGCAAATTAAGTGGCAGAAGCAATTGAATGTGTTGGCTTTACTTTCATGGTACGCACATGAAGACCATCTGCACATAATTTGATTTTTCCAAAGCTGGTGAAACCCTGTTCAGGTAAGTCACACTCACTGGACAGCACTGGCTCGTGGGAAATTCAGAGAATTTAAAGTGTCATAGTTGATTAAACAATCAATGGTAGGTTTATAAGCCTTTTCTTTAAAGCACTAAGATTTTAAAAACTCAATTTGTGATTATTGTGGGGAGAGCCATCACCCGGGAATCTTCCATCATCAACTTTTAAAAATATAAAGTGCTTTCCGAATTTAATTTTTTTGGTCAAAACCCAGTTGCAAAAATAAAAAAATAAAAAATCCCATTTGCAGCCCGGCCGGTGTAGGCTCAGTGTTTGAGCGTCGACTTATGAACCAGGACATCATAGTTCGATTCCTGGTCAGGGCACATGCCAGTAGAGGGTGTGCAGGAGGCAGCCGATCAATGATTCTCTCTCATCATTAATGTTTCTATCTTTCTCTACCTCTCCCTTCCTCTCTGAAAGCAATAAAAAATATATAAAAAACAAACAACAGCCACCAAAAAAAACCCCAGTTGCAAACCTAGCACTGTTTATTGCCTTTTCTTGGGCAGACAATGATCCAAATCCAGTTCCTCTGCCCGTAAATAGACCCCAACCCATCTCATTTCTATCCCAGAGGTCCCAGCCTCCTCTAGGTCCCCACCTGCAGCCTGGCCTAGACACTCCAGCCCCACGACAGAGCCTGCCCCTCCCCCTCCCAAACCTTCCACGGTTCCCTGCTGCTCACAGAGAGACCCTTGGAGCCAGGTGGGTTTCAGAATTTTGAAATTTTCAGATTTTAGCCAAAACCGGTTTGGCTCAGTGGATAGAGCGTCGGCCTGCGGACTGAAAGGTCCCAGGTTCGATTCCGGTCAGGGGCATGTACCTGGGTTGCGGGCACATCCCCAGTGGGAGATGTGCAGGAGGCAGCTGGTCGATGTTTCTCTCTCATCGATGTTTCTGGCTCTCTATCTCTCTCCCTTCCTCTCTGTAAAAAATGGCTTCCGGAGGTGTCTGGATTCCTGAGCTATAGATGTGGGGTCTGTGGAGCTGGACAGAGCCCTGCCCTGGCCAGGCACTAGCAGTCCTTTCTGAGCTGATCCCACCACTTCCCAGCCTCCACCTCCACCTCCCGGCCCGCCCCCCACCCCCCCCCAATAAAGAGTCTTTCAAATACAGCAGGCACAGCCCCAATTCTGAACACACTCAGGTCTTCTCTCCCATGGAGTATAACACAAGTCTCCCTTCCGATCCATGGGCCTCAGATCTGACCCTGTCCTTCCCCAGCTCCAGAGCCTTCCATGGCTCCTGCTGCCCCAGCCTCGTTTTCCTGCCACTTCCTGCCTCCCACAGCAAGCGGAACCCACCTGCACCTCCTCGGGGCAGACACCAGGCTGACCCCAACTTGGGCTCCTCCACCCAGCAGGCTCTCTGTTCAGCCTGGTAAACCTCTTCTCACCCTTGAAGACCCCTACACACTGCGCTTTCTCCTTGGGCCTTCCTCCATACGATTTTTAAAATCTTATTTTTAAAAATATATTTTATTAATTTCAGAGGTTTACAGAGAGGAAGGGAGAGAGATAGAAACATCAATGATGAAAGAGCATCATCAATGGGCTGTCTCCTGCACGGCCCCTACTGGGGATGGAGCCTGCAACTCAGGCATGGGCCCTGGCCAGGAACTGAACCAAGATCTTCTGGTTCAGCGGTCAGCAACCTTTCGGACCTCACGGACCACCCGTGGTCCGTGGACCACCGGTTGGCGACCGCTGTCTGGTTCATAGGTCAACGCTCAACCACGGAGCCACACCACCAGGCATCCATACTGTTTTTTATTTGTTTGTTTGTTTTTTGTTAATCCTCACCTGAGGATATTTTTTCCATTGATTTTTTTTTAAGGGAGGGGGAGAGACAGAGAGAGAAACACTGATGTGAGACACATCGATTGGTTGCAAGCATCCCGACCAGTTCCGGGACCAAGCCTGCAACGAAGGTACGTGCCCTTGACTGGAATCGAACCTGCAACCTTTCATTCCACAAGCCAACACTCTAACTACTGAGCCAAACCAGCCAGGACCCATACTGTTTTGTAATAAGTCTGACTCCTCATCAAAGTGAGAGGCCTTGTCAAAGGCAAGACCTGATGCTGGTGCCCAGCATCACATGGCAGCCTGCACCAAGCAGGGGCTTCAGGTCTTGCTTTAAATGATC